TCCAGGTGTGCAACATAGGCTCGATACCTGCTCTAGTCTGGATCTTAGATGTCCTCCAAAGCCCATGCGTTAAAACACAGTTCCCATGAGAGGTGGTGGAAACTTGTAGAAGTGGAGCCTAATTGGAGGTCTGGTCATTGGGGGCACACACTTGAAGAGAATTGTGAGACCCTGGCCCCTTCCTCTTTCTCCTTTTAACATTCCAGTTGTGAGGCAAATGGCTTTTTTGKTCTACCACTTGCTGCCTGCCATAATGTCCTACCTTGTCAGAGGCCCAAAAGCAATGATCAACCAACCAACTGCCTATGGATGGAAACTTCCAAAGCCATGAGCCAAAGGATCCCTGTTCTCTTTATGACTTGTCTTATTTTAGGAATTTGAGAAAATGGAAAGTTAACAAACATATTCCATATGGATTGACTCATTATCAATGCTATTCACCATGAAGTTCTTCACTCGAAGCCCACAACACGCTTTTAAGAATTTCTAATTTGTCAAAAAAGACTACTTGTCTAACTTTTCAGCAACAACTGTGAAAGAAGGAATTGTCATCATGACCTTACATCTTAGTTTCCTAAGCCATCAAGAAKGCATATGGTATTGTATGAACATGAAACAAAACCATGTTATGCTGGGCTTCGGGAGTGAATAGGGCCACCTATAAGTAGATGACTTTGATGTTTAAATGTGTGTCTTTTATTACATAAAATTTTGTAGAATGATCAATTAATGAAAGAATGGATAGAAAATTTGGAATATTAATGAAAATATTTTAAAAATACTTATTTCCTTATACATGACAAGATAGTTCAATGGTTCTATTATTMATTTATGACCTCTCAGGACTTAATGAAGTTACTTCAGTTCTTTATATTTCTATTTATCTGTGAAATGGTGATACCTATCTCGCAGATCTGTGCTGAGACATATCAATTAATTAAAAATATATACAGTCATGCCTTGCCCAGAAGAAATGTTTGGTAGTGTCAGTTGCGAGCACTGTTTCTTCTGAGTATCGTTCAACGTTCCACAGGTATGTTATAACACAAAAATAAACTGATTACTTTAGAGCATCATCTCTCCCTTCACCGCCCAGTTTTATCAACAACAACAACAACAAAGAGATGCAAGCAAAATAATAGCGGGTACTGGGTCAATCATGATAAAATCTCATACACTTTCTTGAGTCTGTCTTGATGAGAATTGGAAGCAAAGAAAAAGAAGCCTCTAAGTTACTGAACTAGGTATTTGTAAAATATTTGTCTTCACTCAGACAATATTACCTATATTTCACAGACATTTATGAAACAATTTTCTGTTTTATGGCTTCCAACCTACAGCTGATAATGAGACTGTATTTCAACATTTCATATTCTAGAAGCTGAGCAAGGAAATGTACATGGGMTATTTTATTTAATCTCCAAATCATAATAAAGAAGTATATTCATTTTTTATTGCTTTAACTAATAACCACAAATTTAGTGGCTTAAAACAATGTATATTTATTCTCTTACTATTCAGSAGGTTAGAGGCCAGAAATCAGTTTAACCACACTAAAATCAGGGTACGGGCAGACCTGTGTTCCTTCGGGAAAACTATAGGAATGCCTTTCCATTTCCAGTGTCCAGAGGTAGACTACACTGCTCARTCTGTGGCCCCTGATTCCATCTTCATGGTATATCACTCCAACGCTGGTTCTGTGTTTTTTGTCTTCTCTTTTTAAGTCTAGTCCTTCTTCCTCCCACTTAATAGGTCCCTTGTTCTCATGCTGAGCCCACTTGAATACTCCATGGATACCCCTCAACCACAGACTCCAATTTAATCACATTTGCAAAGCCCCTTCTAACATGAAAAGTAACATATTTACCAATTCTGAGAACAGGATGAAGCCTTTTTTGGAATTAGGATGTTATTCAGCCTATCAGACCTCTATACCTGTGGGTTCTGAATCCAAGGATTCAACCAATGGGAGAAAAAATATATATATATATATTTATATATAAAATATCATAACATAACATATATAGTAATTTTTTTCTAATCACTATTCTCTAGACATCACAGTATAATTATGATTTACAAAGTATTTGCATTGTATTAGGTATTATAAGTAATTTGGAAGTGACTTAATGCATATGGAAGAATATTTACAGGTTATATGCAAATACTATGCATAATGTGGCAAGGCAGGTGCTCTGCACTGAGCTACAGCCCCAGCCCAGATCTGTTGATTTTGAAGATTAGAAAATATAAAATTTATTAACTATATTACATACATGGAAAAAAAAAGGATTCAGAGAGTTTGGATGACAATAAAAGTCACAAAACTGCAAAGTAGGCACCAACATAATAATGAWGGTATGTCTTTCTGACCCTAATGCTGCTTCCACTATACAACTCCATCCCTAAACAAGGGAAAAAGATAAAGAAAGGACACTCTCCTTCAGGGTAGTTTTTGGTTTTTATTAGTTAAGGTATGAGTTAAGTATTGCTTTAATGAATACTACATATAAGACTCCAATTTTAGGAATAGATTTAAGAATCAGACTTAGCCATGGGGTAGCCTCATATTTCCTTACATTTAAATACCTGTAACTCCTAAATCTGAACAACTTTGATTATTTGACGTTTCTAGATCCATGTACTGCAAATTTTTTCTAATGTGCTATGTCTATAACTGAACACTTGATTATCCTCTAAACACATTCCTCTCTCATCCTTCACCATCTCAGGAAATGGCACCCACTATACTCGTCTTTGTCCCCTACCACATGTAATTAATAATCATTCAACTTGGGTTTTTACACAAAAATATCTCTTCATTCCATCTATTTCTCTTTGTTTGCATTGCCCCCARAGTCTGCACTGGAATCCTCATTTCCATTCTTTATTGACTTCATATAATCTCTATACATAAACGCGTGATCTCTTTAGACCATAAATTTTGTCAATTCCATGTTAAAATATTTCATAACTACCTGCTGAACTTAATGTAAAACCCAATTAATCACATATCCCATTCTATTTAGGATCTTTCTGTGCCAGTTGTCCTGAAGTGACTAGTAACAGAGTCCCCTTTCACTTCTAAAATTGTCCCATTGGATGACAACTTACCTGCTTACCTTAAGTAGGGTTCCCTGTAATCTTCCCTCTAAGTAATTCTTCYCATAGCCAGTTTTCTACCTCAAAACTTATTGGTCATTCTCTTAAGTCTACCCTATAATTATTTTTCTTCCAGATGGTATATAACTGTATACTTCATCTTGAATGTTCAGCCTATTAGGATGTGCAGAGAGAATCAGACCCAAGTCTGTTATTTACCTATATGTTCCTCCTTTAGAAAGTCAGCATAATATCTTATATAAGTGCCTTCAAGTATTTGTTGAAGGATTAATGATTAAACAAGTTTTCCATAAAAAATCAAAGAGATTTATAAAAACATAGTAAAGCATTTAAATAACAGAAATGTGTTCAAAATACCAATGATCGACATTAATATAGAAGAGAAAGTAATCACATTTTTCTGGAGAAAATGTTGAATAGGGAGGGCTTGGCAGAGAAGAAGACCAATCAGTGTTGATSGATGAATAAGACCATGCTGTATGAATCAAGAAGATATAAGAAAAAAACTTCAAGCAGAGAGAAAAACAGTATAAAACTGTGTGGTTACTCCAGGCACTCAAAGTAGTTTCTATCATTAGAGTATATAGTGATGTATAAATGATAATATTAATGCCATGGATTCCTAAAGACAAAACTTAAATTGTAGAGAACACAGCAGGAAATACAGAGAGAGCTAAGAAATTTAAATCTTAGCTATGTTTTTATTTATAGTACTAGGATGATTTGAGAATAAACACAAAATTATAATACATAGTCCTTAAGGAAACTAAATTGAACCTTATCGTATATAAAACTAAGCTAGGCTTCTCTCTCAAGTAATTCTGAGGTTGGCATTTGTAAGAATTGTCTCAAATTTCTGCTTTTGGTAATGGACTTTTATTCATTCTTAGATTGCAAAAATAAATAGGGAAAGACTAGTAAATTAATATTTTGCCATTGATAAGTATGAAGAGTAATATGTCTATAAAATCTATAAAACATCAAATATTTTGAGTAAATTAAGAGTTAAAATAGTGAATTTAAATTTATCACATTCCCTATTTTTTAGGAAAGAGAATTTTCTTCAAGAAAGTTTCTAGTACAAGAAATCATACATAGATTTTTTTAAAAATAAGAAAATGTGTATACCTTTGTGGAATATGGTTGTAAATGCTTTGCGTGTTCTTAGACTGCTTCTGAAGTTAGAGCTAACATTTAAATTTGAAGAATTCATTTACAAATTTGGAACTATAGGCCTTCTTGAAAAATAATATCTGATAATTGGCAATGTTCTCCAAATCATAGGCTTCTCAAGGGCAATAGTTGTTCTCTGGTTCACCACAGAGCCACCTCCCCCATTACCAAGCTCACTCCCCTTATGTATGCTACATGCCTGAGCTGTTGTGTGAAGTTAACCTCTAAAGACCAGCTGAAGACTTCCCAAAGGGTTAGGAAAATATTTAGCATTGTATCATTCATGGTTATTGACAATTCTACCATATACTCTAATAAAATCAGCTAAAAATGGAACAACTTGGACATCCAATCTTTTCTTTCTTAATTTTGTTTGTTAACTATACTAGAACAAACAAAAAAATCAAAGAAATCCAATATAGTAATTTTTCCCTCTGACTAGCAAGATTTTTATTTTGTCCTCTCAATACTCAATATAACACAAATGGCACAGTATGGTAATCCAAACATATGAGTAGATCATGTGAATCATCTGTGTTTGGCATGCAGGTACCACCTTATAATGCTTCTTTAATATATGGAAAATAAATTTTGGTTTGTTTTAATGGTTTGAAAGACTTGACATGTTTTCAATTTCCAAACTGTTCCAGATTAGGAGATATAAACACAGAAGTGTCATTTCCATAGGAAGTGACAGCACTTACCTTAGCTATCTGGACACACCAGTTCAGCAGCAGTTGTGATCCAATGTTATCCTTGTGTTCATGGACRTATTCCAGCAGGCAGCCGTGGGGCATCAGCTGGGTAACCAGCTGGATGGTTGGGCTTAGACACACACCCAATAGGCGGACTAGGTGTGGATGGTCCATGCTGGCCATGATCAGAGCTTCCTGTAAGAAGGAAAAAAAATAATACCAATATTTCAACTCAAAATTTCAAACACTTATGGTTGCATTGTTCTGATGGTGCTGATAATGTTTTTGAAAATATAATCAATTACAAACGAAAAGATATTATTGCAACTAGTCTTAAAGTGATTTAAATAAAAACAAAGCCTATATACTCAGTAAAATGTAAGTGGTTATAGAATAAGTATCTATAAAATTAATATCAATGTGTTCTCTTTTGAAGTATGAATACTATTTTATTACTCCCACGTACATTAAAGTGAATCCCAACTTAGGCCATGGATTTTTAATTCTTGACCTTCATTCTAGGGTACAATAATCTATACWAATGCAGCCATCTGCAGATAGAGAAACACAACCCAATTTTAAGACATCTATTATTAGTGTAGAGTTGGTCAGTGTTAAGATGGTAAAATGTACAAATAGTAAATATGTAAACATATATATTACAAAATACCCAATTTRTATACAAGATTAAACATTTGAATAATACATTTTGATCCATAATCTTTACTGAAATTTATTTTGTTTTCAAAATTACAAGTGATTGTTAGTCATAGATTCATAAAATTTGAGAGCTACATGGTACTAAAAAATTCTGTCTACTCAAATTTCTTATTTTGTGAATTGAGAAAAAGTTCTAATTTGTTGATCATAACCAAAAGACAACTTTCCTTAATGGAAATAAAAAGTGGACACATAATGGTTACTTAGAGTATCCTAAAGTTTGCCTCCAATCAAAAGTTATTATAAACATTTTGGGCATAATTTGAAACACATATTACAATAAGGGATATGTTAATACACGTTGCTTTGATTTGATTTGTGCTTTTAAGTAATAAAATAATTTTTGAAACCAATAATGAAACTTTCACATAAGGCCACATAATTTCACCTACATAATATGCTTGACAATAATATTAATTTGAATCTAATAATAAGGAATAAATAAACAAATCCACATTTTAGGACAATCTAGAAAGGAACTGGTCTGAACTCATTAAAAATGTCATGTGAGAGATACAAAAAAGGATTTTCAAGCTAAAATCCATTATAAAGACAAGGCAATGCTATGTCTTTGATTGATTCCTGAATTAGAAGAAAAAACACACACTACAGAGAATATTACTCTGAAAATTGGGGAAATATGTGAATAGGTACTATCTATTATGTAAATACTATGCCAGTATTAAATTCTGAAGAATGATAAAAGTATTATGGATATATGGAAGAATTTTCTTTGATTCTTGGAGATCCTGAAATAGTATGAACAAAGTATTTTATGTCTGCAATTTTCTTTTAAATGGTTTCCTCTGAGAGAAGGAAAAAAAGAAAATGAACAATAAAGAGGGATGGAAAGAGAGATTTGGAATATGTGTATGTATTGATTTGTGTGTTTGTTATACAAATCCATAAGCATACACAAACATACCCATAGGGGGTTGTACATACATGGTAATTTGATATCAGTTTATCTATATGCAGGTACTGAAAGTTCATTGTATTATTCTTTTTTTTTTTTTTCAGTGCTGTGGATTGAACCTGGGGGCTTCAGCCTGCTAGGYAAGCACTCTATCACTGAGTCACATCCCAGCCCCCTCTCTGTGTTATTTAAACATGTTCTATAGCTTTGATTATTTTTTTAACAACAACAACAACAAAAAATTAAAGACTGAATGCTCTGTTGAGTTTCTGTTTAAGACGGCCTGGCAGGTTTAATACATGAATTGCTTCCATTCCCTCTCAATTTTACTATATTGAGAATAAAGGAATTAATAAAAACATAATAATAGAGTGGAGACAATAGAGTAGAACAATAAAAGTAGACAGTGGTTGACTCACGGCAACTGACATAGCAAACTTAAGAAGTCAGAAGCCTCACTGAGCAGGAGGAGAAAACTAAGATGCAATCCAGTGGTGAGCACCAACAAAGGTTCCGGTGTATTAGCACACACACCTCTGTTGATGATGGAAGAAGGACCAATTTCATCAGAATTGCTTCAAAATACACTTACGAACCACTTAGATTATAGGGCTCTGTCTCCACCTTTTGGAAAGCTCTAAACTGAAAGGATTGTGGACTGTGGATGTGAGGCACAATGGAAAGACAAGTATTCTGGGGAAAACAGACTGTAAATTCATATAAGATGGAAATATAGACTGCCCATGGGTTCCTTCTCCTAAATGGATCTGTTACTTCAAAATTCTGAAAGTTTTGTTTAAACCTAGAATTCTATTCTCAGCAAAATGTCAACCAAGTGAGTAGACATCATAGATATGTCCAGACATGCCAGACCTTTGAAAATTTACTTTTCCTGCTTTTACTGCTCTGCTAAATGTGCTCATCAAGGGTGGGGAGAGATTTAAAAGAGTCCAAATGGAGTAAACAAGGATTCAACATGAGATTTTGAAATCAAGAATGATAGTAAAGGAGTATTCCTGAATAAATGCTGTAGAGCAGACTGAGACAGCAGTCCAACTAGATTGCGACAGGATACAACACCCTGGAAATCAAACCCACAAAGTTGTGCTTGATAGAATACATAAAGAGTTGAAAATATAGTAAGAGGGCATTTATTTTTTTCTAACCAGTGTTCAAGTTTAGTTCAGAAAACTAAACTTAAGTAAAAAGAAGAAATGAATTTGAAGAAAAGACAGATGTATGCTTCAGAAAACACATTCACCACACAGCATAGCTGAAATAGTTAAATAATCATAATAATACAAGCACAAAATATTGATGCAAGTAGAAATCATAGTACTATACTGGAAAAAAAGGGAGGCATACTTTTGCAAGGAGGTGATAGGAATGGTGTGAAAAGCACATTCCTGTGTTGATAGTGAGAAACTGTTAAATGACGTATAAACCTGAAAACTAAGAGTTGAGAGTCTAAACATATTTAGRCATATGGAAGAAAGTAACAGAAAAAAAATATCATGCAAGTAGACAGTGTTTGCTTTGGGACATAGAAAATGTGGGTAGGAAAGGAAGAGGAGGGTAGGCAGAGCACAACTKTTTCCATCATTATCCATGTAAAAGTAATGGACTTGAAAATTATCATCTTAAAATGATTTAGGAGGACATTGCCAGTTCTAACCTCTGCTACTGTTTTAGTGGTATTGAGCTCAGCTGTGTCTAAAGGTAATTCGCAGCTATGGAGTGTGTCTCAAGAAGTGTGTGGATTTCCTGGATCTAGCTAGGGTTTCATGTGAGGTCTAACAGTTGACTTTTTGAGAAAAGAAGAAAGGGGCAGCATAAGAACATGCCCAGAGAAAGGAGTGACCCAGGCCAAACAGAAGAAATAAGCTGATAAGGTGGTATCACCCAGTCTCAAAGGATTTTTTGTTTCTGATCCTTTGTGGCAGAAGTTGAAATCACTGTTTTCCAAGTAGAAAAGTCTTTCAGTTTCCCCTTCCTTAGCTGCCCCAGGGAACCAGAATAGTCACAGAATTCATGTGGACTATCTGCATCCACTAGGTTGCAAAGATTTTGGTCTCACTCACTGTATATTTCATTAAATATTTGAAATAAAGCAAAGCAGTACAGTTATAAAGAGAGTACAGATATGAGTATATATGTGCATGTTATGAGTATGGATATGAATGCTAGCCAAATTAAATAATTACTCTAATAATAGCTGCTTGTACTCTTAGTGTAACTAGAGAGTTCCTTCACTGAATTTTAATATGCACACATATAAAACATACACATACAAAAAAATGAACAAAACATCTAATTGGGTTAAGTATCATAATTAATTATATACTAGATAGTTAGATACTAAATGTTAGGTATCTGATCAAATTAAACTCATACTGACTATATTCTGTCTCTTATGGCCCTCAGTTTTTCATTCATATAAGAATCATCTAGGTTTATCATTACTAGTGTAGCTTTCCTGACGCCATATCCAGGTAATCAGATGTAGACATAGAATTTGGGAATCTGCTTTTACAGTAAACTCCCCAGCTAAAGCTAGTGTAGGGAGCATGAAACTCTGAGAACCTCTGGTACATCTCAATCTCCTGTGTGTCTCCACAATCCATGGCAAAAGGGAAATACAGCAGTTATTTGATCCTTAGTATAAACCTGGGAAGCAATTGAAAGAGGTAAACACTCTCAGTTGCAAAATGAGGCAACAGGATCAATGGGATTCCTGGTTAGATCACTAGTCGGTAGCAAATCAGATTTAAAACTTAGAATTTCTGAGTATTAGCTCTGCATTACTTCAATGGTAAAGTATTGTCATTTTTACTTCAGTTCCGTCAGCACCTTACACTGTTAACAAGGCGGCTTCATACACTTAGAATTAGCCATACCTGGAATGAATTGGGTCAAAATGTCCCTGAGGAGCAGCTAAAATCAAACAATGAATTTGTGCTAACAGGTAAACTGCCATCACTTACACATAATTCCAGAAAAAAAAAGTAATAAACATTTTTTTCTGATTTACTGAAAGTTATATTTGGTACAGGCCATTTCCTAATGTAAAGAAAACAATGACATTTAAGGTAGAAGAAAAATGTTGAGGTTATTTTTGCCTTTGCTTTTAGAATTAAATATATAAAATGATTATTTTTTCCTCCTACAATTCAAAGAGCAATGATAATTCCATTCTAAATATGCATTTGAGAAGTTTACATTAGAGGACTTTTCATGTGAAAAGTGAAAGTTCCCTTAAAAAAAATCTATTAGTAAGTCCTGGCAAAAAAGCTGGGTTTGTATTAAGGAAAATTGCTCATCACACTACAAAGAGTATTTGAAACCAAATTGTAGAGTATTTGCATAATAGTTCTCTTTTTTTTTGAGAAAGAAAAGATGAACAAGACACTAATTGTAGGTTTTATTTTTTTCATAAAGGAAATAGCAGATGGCTTTTTAGAGGATGGGGGAATAGATAAAGGAAAGGGAATGAGGATCATTTAGAGTGATGAGTGGGATGGAAAGGGGAAACAAATCCCAATATTTTAATCATGGAGTG